ACACACACACACATATATATATATTATATATATATATTAGTTATTCCTTATATTCCTTGAAATATTTCAACTTAAAACATCTTGAAACTCAATTTATCCAAATATACAGTTAAATAGTATTCTGAATGCCTATCATTATCGTTATTATAATTAATGACCATTTCTATTGTAATTTATATAGCCTTGGATTTCCTACAAAACCCATTATTCTCCGATACTTTTGCAATTCAATTGACTAATGGGCTGAATTTATGACGATTGCGTTAGAATACACCGACTAAAACACATAATTTTGAGTGTTATTCGCCTCCATTCCGAAAGCTTATTGTTTCAATTTAACATTTCGTGGCGAAAAGTTTCGAGAAACCTTATGATTCTCACGTTCTATACTCAATTACAAAGGATTATTATAATAATATCAGAACAATTCATACGGCTAAAGCTGTGAGGAATGCAGTTCTAGCAGTTAATAAATATTATAGAGTCATATTTTCATATATTGTTACTGCATCTAGCAATTATTTTCGTACTTATACGCATTTAATGGTATTTAGTTTAAATAAAACGACCAAACCCTGGATGATAAACTCTTTGTTTAATATATTTTAATATCTGTAAAATATATTTTCAATATGTGTATAATTATATTTTCTTAACTTGTATAATATTTTTCAACATTTGTACAGGGACCGAGCAACACAAATTCAGGCCCAAGTCACACCAAATTTTCCGGGCCCCTTACAAAATATTTCGAAATTAAATTAGTGAAAAGTAGTCATAATAATTAAAAAGAATCTATTGAACTGCATGATTCAAGAGAAACATTCTAAGAAATTTTGAAAGCAGACAATTGAAGATTATTTTTCCAAGATAAAGTTTACGAATCTATAAATTAAAGCAAAATATGAAACAACAAAACAATGTTGTATCAAAATAAAAATGATGATCACAAACAATTGAAATCAGTGATTTTTGCTAAGCGTCACTGATTAGCTGAATTATTTTTCATTGCAAGCTGTATTTATTTATTTTTTAGTACTCAAACCAATACAAAGCTAGCTCACCTTTCATTAGTTTTTAATAATTTCGTAGGCCCCTCAGAAATTGTGGGCCTTAGGCCCATGCTTTTTGGACCTAGGCGATAATCAGGACCTGCAATTGTATCTAAATGTATTTTAACCAAGTGTATCTTATTTTAGCACATACACTACATATTGCAACTTCATTAGCTGCATTGAATGTCTTAAAATATGATTTCGATACTAATGAACTTTCTAAATTTAACAATTAGTCAAAAATATTGCTGGGACAAAACTAATTAATAAACACAAATTTTCTGGAGTATGCACTGATTTGTTTACATATTGTCAATAAACATGCAACCAATCACTATGGTTGTATCCAATCACGTTGTTGTGCACGCCGTGTTAACGTTACATCTCTAAGAGATGGGTTTATTTCCATGCTGAATCAATTTTCGGACCAGATTTAATTAGATGCCTACCCGCAATGTCACGCGCGTGTGTTGAACCTGATTGGCTGATCTACATGTGAAGTCACCAACAAATCGCTTTACATTATTTACAACCTAACACAATGCTGGTTGAAGTTAGGAATAGTTTAACTTTTGCAACTAAATTCAATATAGTTATTATATTAAATTCAAGTGGCGAGTCTACAAAATAGCAATTTAAATAAAATAAAAAAAGCAACCTTTCCCTTTTTCCCATTTTTTTAATGTGAATTAAATTTTCTAGCGCAGTAAAGTCAAGTTAATATATTTTGTTAAATTTTTTATTTTTATCGTTATTATTAATATTATTTTTATTGTTGATTTAAATTTTGATAGCTGTAGATTATTTCTGAATAGATTTTTTTTAAATATAATTAAATCCAAGTAACAAAAAAACGAGGCGTAAATTCGCTATTTAATAATTAGAACCTATTGGTATTTGTCACCGGCTTATTAGGTTTGTGTAAGAAGTGGCTACTAAATAATTAGAGTTTTCCGACCATTGGCTACTAAATGAAAATGTGAAATTTCAGGTCTACTTTACGGGCATAAATTTATGATTATCATGAGTACTGAAACATTTTTTTGGCGGTTGCTAATCGTAATATAGAGGTGAATTATTTTATTGTTCAGAAAATCGGAATTTTGCAAAAGTTTAAATAATATATTCGCAAAACAATAATACTTATAAAACAATAATTTCTATTGGTTTGTAGGTACTGAAGCAAAGTAGTGATGAACCTTTCTTTTTCAAAAAGTGATATTTTAACAACAAACTTTTCCTTAGTATTAATCTCAGATAGGTACATTTTAAGACAACTCAACTTTCTTTTTCTAACGAACTTTCGTTCTTCACCTCGGAAGATGCCGGAAGTGTTGCTTATTTAACGTTACCCAGTGGGCACCGGAGAACCTAAGTCACGGAGGCGAGCAACATTACCCACGCCACACTGCCACAAATACCCATTCATAGAGTGGGCCACATTCATACATAACACAACAGAGAACAACGCGCAGAAAACAACACACAGAGAGGGAATCATCTATGCCCTGAGTGGGATTCGAACCAGCAGTCACTGGCTTCATAGTCAAGAGGCACGTTCACCGCCTTTGCAACTCAAACTAGATAGCAGATAAAAAGATCATATTGCCTCGCTTGAGCATTTTAAAAATGTGGTTTATATATTGCTCCAAACCCTTTAGTTAAAAATGGACAAAAAACAATTAAAACATAAATTAGACATTGACCACCCTAATTGCATTTCAAAAAGGTTAATAAAAATTCTGTGGTTAAAGATTTTAATAACGTTAATATTACTAAAAAAACTTAATTTATTTCCTCAAATTTTATATTTTAAATAAAATTAGCAATTTAAAATATCAATTCAATATTTCTTATATATTTGAATTTTTCTGACATATCTAGAAAAGTTTAATAAGACTTTTCTATGACATTAATACGCAACTGACATTAGTGCTAACACTAATATCTGAAGGAAATAGTTAAACCTCTGATCTTTAAAAAAAATAGTTAATGGAACAATAGTTGTCTGGGAAAAACTATAAGTCTTCTGTTATAACTTGACTAACAACAATAAAACGTTAATATATACGTTTTTTTTTAAAATCTGTATTAAAAGCATTTTAGCAATTCTTTATTTTTAGTTTTCCGACCGAATTTTTAACGTTGATGTCTTTTTATTTCCTTCATTTCTGAAAATGTCATACTTAATTTTTAATTTTGCCGTGGTTGTTTTAATCCTTAGTAGGATTTATTTCTCGGTTTTGTATATAAGTTTAACGTCAACGCTTTTTCTTTTAACCTTTCTTTATAAGAATATTAGTAAATAAAAATAAAAACGTTTTATACGAAGGTAATAGTAAATCGCATTATTAAAGTTACTGTGAACCAGTCTAGCGACAGAAAGTTGCTGCAAGAATTTCGCAATAAGAGTTCAAAATTAATTTATAAGCAGGACTTTAACAAAAATAAAAACCGTCTGTCATGAGTTGTATGTTGAATCAAATTAATAAATTTATAATGCCCTAGTCTTAAATAAAAGATCGCCGCTGAGAAAAAGGAGTTAATAAAAAAAAAGTTCAAAAGTGTTCGGAGTACAGCAATTAAGAGATCAAAATTTGTTCACCAGTGAGCAATACAAGCTCTGGATTTATCTTGTTCTTTACTAATGAAGAATTTTCTTTAAGTTTTCTATAAACATTTACGGAAAAAACTTGGTATTTTTGGAAAATATAACAACTACAGTAAGTATGAGACAGTTTCAAACAAATCTCGCTTTTCAAAAAATTAAAAAAACTTCTTAATCCCCCCCCCTAATGTGAGCTATACATGCTGGAAAAAAATTTTTTTAGAAATTTCCTATAAGCATTTTTTAACATAAATTGGTATTTTTTGAAAACAATAACAACCATATTTAAATAAGAAACCAGTTTAATATGAATTTCATGTTTTGGACTAAATAATTTTTTTTTAAATTTCCTTTAAAGATTTATAGATAAACATCAGTATTTTTGAAAAATTTGGCACCCATATTTTAACAAAAATTTACTTTAAAATTTTATTAAATCTCGTTTTCCTAAAAGTTATAAAAAAAAATCATAAAACTGTTCACCCTAATGCTAGATTTTTAGGTATTAAAGTTAGCATGCTTTGGACTAAAGAAAAATGTTTAAAAGTTTTCTATACACATTTATAGAAATAGATTGGAATTTTCGGAAAATATAAGGCCCATATTGACACGTTTTGAAGCGTAAAACCAGTAACAATTGATCCTCACTTTCCCAAAAAATTATAAGAAATTCGTATCTTCTCAAATGTAAGTTATATAAATATTGAAATTTTTGTGATTTGGTCGAAAAAGAATTTTTTAAAACTACCTTATAAACATTTATATGTTAGTATTTTTGTAAAATTTGATGCTCATATTTATTAAAATTGCAATTTCAAATGAATGTTGCATTTGAAAAAAGCAACAAAAAAAATTGCCTATATGACCCCATTAATATCATCTAACTAAACACCGTTAGCGTGTTTGAGATAGAAGAATAAATTCTAAAAGTTTATTATAAACATTTATTGATATAAATCGGTATTTTTAAGAAATACGATGTTCATATTTAAGAAAAAGCCACTTTCAAATGAGTTTCTCTTTCCTGTTTTGGATCCAAAAAAATTTTTTTTTGAAGTTTCAAATGACTTTTACATTTTCAGATCTTTTATTTATTTGAATTTTTCCAGTGATTTGTATAGACTGATCATAAAGACGCGATCAGCCTGCAAATGGACCAAGAATGTGTGGTTTCAGTTCCCGTTAAAGAGTTCTACTTTAAAATGTATAACTTGGTGCGTAAGTGGGACACCTAAGTGGGGGAGCCACCCCCTTCTGTAAAGAATGAATAATGCGATGGAATGTCAATATTTCCCAGATCATTGCCAGCAGCTCACTGAGCAGCTTTATTGCAACGTAAAAAAATTTAGTTTGTCGGAAGTAAAAATTCCCCTAGTCATTCGTCTGGACCCGTGGCTGTGACTATGGCAACGAGGTGTAATTATTTCAAGTAGGGGGTTGGTGTCGTTGTTTAGGACAGGATTTGGCTTAGGTTGGCGAGAGAAATTTTTCTTCTTCGGTCTATCGTGTTAATTTTAGAGTAAAGAGAAGCTACCCTCCCTGAAATGAGCTATTCTTGTTTCCATAGCAGCAGACGGCCTCAGACTTTGTGGTGGGGAGAGTTCTTACCGTAGACAAACTGTACAACTACTATTTAAAGTTTTCTATCAATATTTATAAACATAAATTAGTATTTTTGGAAAGTCTGACACGTACGTATGAAACCCGTTTTAAATAAATCTCGTTTAAAAAAAAAATTATAAATTTTTAGTACCCACCCAAATGTGACCTTTAGAAGCACTAAAGTTTGTATTGCACAAAAAAATTTTAAACGTTTCCTGTAAACATTAATGGACATAAATTCTTATTTCTAGAAAAGGAATCTTTTATTATTACTTTTGTTGATGTTTTTTTTCTGTACGGATAGTTATAAAAATTAGTTAGAAAAACCAAGCATCAGTGACTTGAACAAAAAAGAAGATAACAGATAAAATTAGAAATTTGATTAAGAACACCAGCTGTGAAGCTTACAACAACAGGTCTTTATTCGTCAGCATTCCTTAGTTTGTAGAAGAAAACAATATGACTATTTTCCAACTCTTACACGCAAAATCCATAATTCATTTTTAATGATTTTACTGAAAGATAGGAGGACAGTAAGTTTGAAAATTTCTAATAAATTTTTTAGGAAACTTACAACAATCAATTTTACCATTGTAGTGCTCTAAAAAAATTGGGGGTCCGGACTACAAATTCAGGTAAAGACAAAATTACTCAATAAAAATTGAAATAGTTTCAAAGAATAACGCATACAAGTTGTCAGAAAAAAATAGTTGAATGTCTTAAGTTTTAAAATGAACAACATAGGTCGTATATTTTTCCGAAAGCTATAAAGGGAAGTAATTTTCAACGGTGAAAGAAAAAAGTTCTTCGTGAAATTTGTGGGCAATATGTTTTCGATTTCAGTTAAATAGAATTATTTTCTTCTTTTGAATCCACTTGGAAAAAAAATTTTTTTTTTAAAGTCTGGTTGTTTGATTGAAGACAAAGTATCTTCTTAGATTATATGATTGCAACTTCGATATAAATTGGTTAGGAAACGATTGTCACAAAGAACAAGATCAGGTTTAAAGATGTGCATAGTCCCTCCTACGATATGGTAATAAATTCTATTTTAGTAGACGGGAAACAATTTTATCTTGCATCGCCCTCCAACACAAAACTTAAGTTATTACAAAAATTTGTTGTATAGGTCATGCAATCAGACAGCGAATTTTAATAATAATTTAAATGCTCTAGCTACTAAGAAAGGGTTTAAAAATTTGATAGCAAATTTCCACCCTCAAGCTCACGAAAACATTGTTAATAATAATGTGTATGTCTCTATTGAGTAAGTTGAGAATGTTTCTATTTTTAAACCTCCATTTGGTTCATTTCCAGCAATTTGTTAAAAATAATTACATCTACATTATTCCAATTGAAACCCATGATTCATAAAAGGAAACTTTTATTACTGCTTGAATTAAAATTGACCTCGATTATGATTCGTTAGATTTTGATGACAGTTTTGTGAGCATTTTCTTTACTTTACCCATTGACGCAGATGGGACATTGATGCCCTTTTTTTTTCTTCTATTGGCATGACAGCCCTTTATGGGCTAGAGCCTTTCCTTAGAACCTTCCTCCATTCTGCCCTTTTTTTGCGATTGTTCTCTAGTTAGTAATTCTTAAGATTTTGAAATCCTCTTCCGCACAATCAAGTCATATGATCTTAGGCCTACCCTTTTGTACACCTTTTTTGTAAGCAATATATAAAAATATATTGTTTTTCTAACGTTCTAATTATAAGCAAAAATATATTTCGGTATTTTTTAATTATAAAAAAATGTGCAGTGGTTTCTAAAATAAATCTGTTATATTATCGGAATTACATTTGTACTAAAACATAAAAACCGAAAAAAGGTAGTTTGAAAAATAATTTTTCATTCACTTTCAAAAATTGCATCAATAATTAAAGAAGATTTTGAAAATTAAAGAAATTGCAAATACGTGCAAATTTGTAAATGTAATTTTAAGAAGTAAACTGTGTTTGGAAGATTTTACCTCTAACGCAGAAAAAAAACACTGGTGTTTAATTTTGTATTGCATAACCATAAATTATTAAAATGCAAAGCATATTTTTTAATTACTTCGATCTAAATTAATACAAAACAATTAAAAAAATATGAAAAATATGTTTAATAAAAATTCTGCGTCAAAATGTTAAATTATAATTTTTGTATCCTACTGATACCTGTAGAAAGTTCTTTCAAAAAGCGCCGAGTAGGCTATTTTCATCGAGTGGGCCCGAACGTTCAACGCAGAATAAATGTTATTCGCGTGTTTTATTCTTTTATGTTATTTTCGATAATTCCTCAGATTCATCTGAAACAGGATTTCAAAAAATCTATTCATTTT